GATGTCATCGGCCTCTTGGTTGGTGCCGCGAGGCACATGCTGCAACTCCAGTCCCCAGAACTGCTTCTCCATCCTGCGGACCTTCGCGAGGTAGGCTTCCATGTGCTCGTCCTTTGGCTTGTACACTTTGTTGGAGAAGTTGACGAGGAGCTGCAAATCACCCTTGATGGTGAGGCGCTTCACCCCCAGGGCGACTGTAACTTTCAGGCCCGCTATCAGGCCTTCGTATTCTGCTATGTTGTTGGAGACCTTTTCTCCGTGCTGGAAACAGAGTTGCACGGCGTAATAAATCTTGTCTTGAGTGGGGGATATGAGCACTGCGCCAGTCCCCGCGCCGTGTCGGGAGAACACCCCGTCGAAGTACATGACTCAACCGTCCGGTGCCTCGCTTCCGGGGGAGAGGGATCGATCCTCACCAGCCTTTAGGCCTGGCGCCTCTGCCCATTCCGCCATAAAGTTTGCAAGCGCAGCCCCCTTGATGACTCTGGTTGTGCTGAATTCCAGTTGAAATGCTTGCAGCTCAATGTTCCACTCAGTGACTCTCCCAGCCGAGTTGGGGCTCCTAAGCACCCTTTCCAGCGGGTACGCTGAGACGACCTTGATGGGATGGCCCTGAAGGTGGCGCCTGCGAACCACCCAGGAGAGCGGCGACGACTGGGGGCACCGGTGCAGCGTACTAGGCGAGGAAAAGGCCACGCAGCTCCCCCAAGAGGCCACGGAGGCCGCGTGCAAGTGGAGCAGCCACATGCGCGGGACACCGATGAGGGCCACGGGAAACCAGTTAGCCATGACCCTGTCTCGCCCCCGGCCTCGAGGACGGCCTCCTCGTACGCCAACAGGAAGGCCAGCGGATCGGTCGTGCCGTTGTAGCGCGGCGACATCTCCGGCTTGAACTTGTTCGGCCACAGCACCTGCCGCAAGGTGGGGGCCAAGGCTCGGAGCCCCCCGGCCCCTGCGCTGGCGCTGGTGACCGGAGCGGGCGGCGCGTTGCCCATCATGAGGGCGAGTCGTGGTGTTGGCGGAGAGCGGTCGGTGGAAGGGAAAACTCCGGTGCACCCCTACCTGGCGTGCCAAATGTCGGATTTCGGGTTCCGGCAGACCCTCTAGGTTCGAACTCTGGGGTGCACGCGGAGATCGCACCTACTACCTACCTATGTCTCGTCGCCTCGCAAGGATCTAAACTACACGAAGAACGACACAGGGGACACGAGGTTTATACTAGTTCGGGCCACCATTGTGGTGTAATACCCTACTCTAGTTTGTGGTGTGGTGGATTGCCTCAGGGGCTGATGATGAACAATACAAGGAAGAACTGCCTCGCGAGGGGTGTTCTTGCGTTGGTGGTTCTGGCTAGGGTTCCACCGCTTTTTTCTGCCTTGACAGTGGCTAGTCCTATTTATAGAGCGAGGCCCTGGGCCTCTTCCCAAATATTGAGCGGGAAGGGCGCCAACAATTGGCCATTTTGAAGGGGAACATTTAGTATACTTATCCTGACTAAAGTCGGTCCTCGCCTGCCAAAGACTCTGGCGGTGACGCCGGCTTGGGCTCCACGATGACCTCCATCCTGCCGTTCTGTTGGTCTTGGTCTTGTTGCACCGAAATGGTTGCCTTTGCTTGATACTCTTGCCTGCGCTTGCTCCCTTTGCACCAAGAGGAAACAAGGACTCTGCGCAGGCCGGCGCCTGCCTGGCGCTTGGCGCCTGGCCTGGCGCCCGCCTGGCTTTGGTCGTCATGGCTTGCGTCACGGGCACCTTGTGAGGTACCCCACCTTGATCTCTCCGCCTCCTCGCGAGCCAGCCTGATGAGGTTGTGCCTGAGGAAGCTTCCTGTCGTCCGCCCCGCGAGGCTTGGCCCCTCGTGAGGATCTTGAGCTTGTGTTGATGAAGATAGGCCGTACCGGGCCACTCTTTGAGCCACGCCGCAGGCCGCAGGCAGGCAAGTCTGAGTACGCTCGTTCCCAGAATGCCGACAGCCTACAAAAAACTCGCCAAAACCAATACAATGACCAAGCGAAACCACAAGCGTCTCTATTGAATCCTAGTGAAGAACGAAAAACACACACGAAAAATGGGCCGAACCAGTAGCTACACATGGAAGGAATACTTCAGGCGACACGGACGCTATACTTGCTGTCAGCGAGATATATGGCCTGTTTGGTTTGTATCCTCATCATTTTTTGCCTGGCCTGGAGTTGCGCCTGAGTTTGACGTGTGGTTGTTTGGTTGATGCCCAGTGCAAAAGAGACTCCTTGTGTTGTGATTAGCCTGGGGTAGTCTCCAGGCATTGTAATTAGCCTGGGCCAGGCCACCGGGTTCGGACGCCTGGGCATGCTGCCACGAGCAAAGAGCGGCCTGGATGGGACGTTTGAATAAACAACAGTCTCATTAGATGTACCGACGGGATGTTGATGCTCTACCAGGCCAGAAACCAAACCAAACGCACCATCGCCATATTGGTCGGGCCAAGCAGAAAAAATCCAACTTAGACGTGCACACCAGGCAGCGCTGAACTCCCATGCATGAAGACCAGGTCACAAACCAAACTAACCCATAGTCTTCGTGCTTGATAGTTTGGGGAGATGGTACAACATCGCCTATGTAATCGTCCTGATGGGCCGACACAACAACACATGTGGTGCAGGCGGTTTCTACGGTGGGAATTGATTTTAGTAGCCTTTCGCACGGTTTTCGGAAGGCGTCGTAGTGTTTTTTTATGTTTTTATTTTCTGTGTTTCTATTTATCACTATTTTATCTACTTTATTTATTTCTCCATTTCCCCCTTTTACCTTATTTCAAATAGGCATTGGATATTTTTTAATACTTGATGAACATTTTGTAACGCACATTGAACATTTTTATTAATGAGAAAAACATTTCTCAAGTGTTAAAACATTATTTTATGTTTATGAACATTTTTTGACTGTACCTTTTCCAAATTACGCATACAAATTCTACATTTTCATAGAATATCATGGACATGTTTTTGAAAAGTATGGTATTTTGTTAACTGTCATGAACCTCTTTATGAATTGTACGAAACACTTTCCTGAAGTTAAGAACATATTTTTGAAACATGTGAACATTTGTTTTTGTATGGTATGAATATATGTTTTTTAAACATTGAACGAACATTTCTTAATAATATCATGAACATTTTATAAAATTTTACAACAATTTTTTTTAAATGGATAACCTTTTCTAATAGCGCAAGAACACAATTTAACACTCCCGGGATATTATTTTTTATACAGAATGAACATTTTGAAGCGACACGGTGTAAATCGAGGCCCAAGGCCCAAGCCGTGTAACTGATGTATGCACTTGTAGATCTTTTGAGTGAAATAGTGTAAGGTGGTGGTGCAAATAAAACACCACAAAAAGAAATGATCCGCATTATTAGGCCACGGCCATGCATAGTAAGAACGGTCGCAATAACTGAGATATAGGGTCGACGATGCGACATGCCATCATATATATATTTGAAAAATAAATATCCCAGAACACCATTCATAGAGTTTGTCCGTATTATTTGAGATATTTTTCAGCATTCACATAATTTGTTCTTGGCGGTGGTTTGCAATAATGGCTCATGCACTGCTTTGCAATAGCGAGGCACTTGGAAACGTGCAGCATCAAGCTTGATTGCTGTCCGAGTTTCAGATGTTTAAGATGGTCACGCAACGCCGAAACGAAGGATTTTAATTATCAAATTCGCCCCATACTACCTTGCTTGTTCTTGGTAGCCAGTTCCCAGAGGTTTTTAATGGGGAACTCTGCTGCGGAATTTATGTGTAGTGCCATATTCGGTCCAAGTTGCAGGGAGTAAATTGAGGTGGAAGAAACCAAGTCAGGTAACCGATGCATGCATTCATTTCAGCGGTTTCATTCAACAACATGTGCACTGCAGATCTCTTGACTGAAAATGGAGTAAGGTGGTGGTGCATGTCAGATTCATCTAATGCGCGCATGCGTGCTCGTCCCCCCTTTCCGACCTATGGCAGCGAAGGTGTTGAACTGAAAGCTGTTCTTGTTTCAGCAACTGTCAAGTAAGGCCCCTCTTGCAGAAACTTGATTTAATCGCATTCAACCAAGTTTATGACTTGGGTTTCTGTTACGACTGCACTTGCAAGCACCTTTGCATGTGTCGGTCAGCCAGGAAGTAACTGCATTTTCATGGATGGAGTACTTGAAACTTGAGGCCATCTCCAATGGTGTCACTTTCAGTCAACCACTCACTCAAGACTGAACCCCACTTCTCTCCCACTTGGCGCCTAGGCTATAAGAACGAGATGAGATGATAGTGGGTTGAGCACCTTGGATATTTGTAAGGCAGAGTGAACTGAAGATGGGTCTCAGCTCAAGCCTAGTGCCGGTGACATCTGCACTGCTCCTCTTCTGCTGCCTCACTGCTGGTAACAAACTGCGAATTTCCCTTCCTTCATTTCCGTGTCAAAATGCATCGACATCGTCGACGTCGATCTAAAGTAGAGTACATTTTTCCGATGGTTTGCTTAATCTGCGGCCATGGCAGGGAATGCTGCCGCCGCTGCTGCGAGTGGCGGTGGCCTGAGGCTGAACTACTACTCTGAGAGCTGCCCGAGGGCGGAGGAGATCGTGAAGGAGCAGGTGAGGAGCCTGTACGAGGAGCACGGCAACACGGCCGTGTCGTGGCTCCGGGCCCTCTTCCACGACTGCACCGTCAAGTCCTGCGACGCGTCGCTGCTCCTGGAGACCAACACCGCCAGGGGCCTCGTCTCCGAGCAGGCCTCCCCGAGGAGCTTCGGCATGCGCAACTTCAAGTACGTGGGCGCCATCAAGTCGGCGCTGGAGCGCGAGTGCCCGGGCACCGTCTCCTGCGCGGACCTCCTCGCGCTGGCCGCCCGGGACGGCGCGGCCATGCTGGGCGGGCCGGCGGCCATCGCGATGCGGACGGCGAGGTGGAACGGTACATCCCGAACCACAACGACACGGTGTCGGCGGTGCTGGCCCGGTTCGCGGCCATGGGGCTGGACGCCGAGGCCGTGGTGGCGCTGCTGGGCGCGCACTCCGTGGGCCGCGTCCACTGCAGCAACCTGGTGGCGAGGCTGTACCCGGCGGTGGACGGCGGCATCGAGCTGGCGTACGGCGCGTACCTGCGGGGCCGGTGCCCGACGGCGGAGGCGAGGGAGGACACCCGCGACGTGGCGTACGCGCGCAACGACCGCGCCACGCCCATGGTGCTCGACAACATGTACCACAAGAACCTGCTCAAGGGCAGGGGGCTGCTGCTCGTGGACCAGCGGCTGGCGTCCGACCCGCGCACCGCGCCGTTCGTGAGGAGGATGGCGGCTGACAACGGGTACTTCCGCGAGACGTTCGCGGCGGCGCTGGTGAGGATGTCGGAGAACGGGCCGCTCACCGGCGGGCAGGGGGAGGTCAGGAAGGACTGCAGGTTCGTCAACGCCAAGTAAGATGGAGCTAGTGATCAGTGGCACCCTGGCAAGACGTAAACGTAAGCGTGTCACGTGTGTGTATGTATGTGCTCGTGGCATGGGGCACTAATAGTTCAGAGTGATGAAGGGGCCATGTATCATGTGTGCGAGCATGCTTGCTGTATGAGCATATGCATGATGCCTGCCTGTACCTGATGGATATGCGTTATCCGAATTCAACGTCGAAATGGAATTCTGCCGACCTACCTACAAACAACTAGCACGTTAGTATGGCAGGCATTGATGAAGTAAACTCGTCTGTTCCAGCGTTGCGTGCTACCACATTCCGTCCTGGTTTTGTGTCAAACTTTGACCGTAGATTTACCCAAGAAAATGATAATGCATGCCATCAAAAAACTATGTCGTTGGATTCATATTTAAACATAGTTTCAATGATATTATTATTTTTTAAATACATTAACATTTTATTCTCATTCTGGGATGTATGCCCCTGCACTTGTGGCCGCGTGCAGCCTCTGATGAAACCTTATCTTATGTAATAACTAGCAGTTATCCTGGAGTCTAGTTTGCTTTGGATTTCCTTAGCGTGGTCTTCGTTAGGGTCTACTGATTATCCTGACAAATGATGATGGGTGGGAGGTGGGAGGTGGGAGGGATGGCTCCCCCTTAAATAAGAGAAGACAAACCTTTTTTTATAAGTTCTCTCTTCCACCTCCTACGTGGCACTGCTAACATAATACCATTGTAAATGCCCTAATATTCTAACTGCAAATCCATATCCACCTGGGTACAACACCGTGTCATCTGTTAGACTCTCGGGGCATTAATCATGAACGATGAACATTATTAGCAGACCGACGAAAAGAACCAACGCACGCGACAAAGCCATTCATATGGTCAAGTTCGGTCAGAAGCAAGTGGACTGTGTGTGGACGGGTACCCCAAGTTTCAGAAAATCTTCAGTTTCGTCTTCGATGACACATGTATCACGTTGTGCCTGATCTGGTCCGTGTCCCAAACTTACTTGAGTGTGATCACTTTACAGTTTCTGTTAAAATAGCGGAGCGGTCATAGGTCACCGAGTATTGGAAAGCTTGATATCAAGAGCATGTGACCATGGAGACAGTAGCAGTATGCTTGTGCGTTGAAATGACATAGTTGTACAGCAGGCATTCAGAACACCACGGACCACTGCTGAAAATCTGAAATGCCAAGAATGGATTTGTGTTCAGGCATCACATGCTTCACGCCAATGCTGTACTCCCTCCGTTTTAAATTGACTATAAGACGTTCCAACTACTCTTTCCTAAATCGACTTTACATAGAGTCGTTTAAATGCGTTTGTTCACTCATTTCTTCCGGTCTCACAGTTAGTTATAAGATTCTCAGTGCGTATCAGATAGTGCCTGAACATTTAACAATACAAACGACTCAACTTATACACCAGAAGTTTATAGAAATATGCCTACTAATCTTACACTAGAAATCACTATTAAGATATTTGTTAGATCATATGCTTTGCAAGTCTCTACCATAATGTTTTAAAATATTTAAATATACATAAACATTCATGCTATATACTTTATGCGATTGTTGAAAATAATTCAAGCGGATTTTATTACAAAATATAATTTAAATTTAGCACAATTCAAATCTATTTTTCTTTTGCAATGATACACACTACAATTGTATAACAAAAAACACAATACTTGGTCTATTACGCTAACTGATGAAATAATAATCCTTAATTATGTAACATTTTTTTTGTTTTGAAATGAACATAATAAATTTTTTTGTACAAAAGTATAAAAGTTTAATAAAAATTATATTAGAGTTATTATAACTGAAAACCGTCTCACTCCCTCAAGTCTTGAGTACATCGCATTTCTATAAATCCAGGGACACATGACCCACATATTACGTAAAAATGTTTACTAAATATAGAGAAACACTAGTTATTATGAATTCAGAGAATCTTTTTATAATAGGGGCTGATATGTTACCTTCTCTGTTTTCTTTTTGAGATGTTCTTCTATCTATTATAAGAGCTCCATGTAAACTATAATAACATTTGGTTGTATTGATTTATATTTGAATTTTTATTAAAGCAAATTTTATAATAAGTTGTGCTGGAACCCACATTTAAAATAATCAATGGGTAAATAATAAGTAATTTCACCCCGGTCGACCGAGCGAGCTAAAATTTTCCAGTGTCTCTACCGCACCCCACCGGCCACCGCTCACCCTACCGACGTAAGATTTTCCCTTGGCATCGTAATTTTACGTTGAATCGCTCTCAACATCCGGTTAGGAGCCATTAGTTTGTGGGGCTATTCGTTAAAAAAAAGCCGCCCATGGGGATTACGAGCCAACCCACTCCCCCTAATCAGGCAATTCGAGCGGTTTCCAATTTCAATGGCAATCAACATGCGGTGGACGAGGGTGGTCAATTCCGGTTGGAGCTCAGCCGCAGACAGGTTGTAAATCTCGTCGCCGACAAGTTACAACTTACATCGTCGAAGCTCCATGGTTGTAGCACTCGATGCACCACCGCCTGTTAGGGAACGCAGTATTTCAGAAAATTTACCTACGATCACACAAGATCTATCTAGGAGATCCAAAGCAACAAGCGGGGAGAGTGTGTCTACATACCCTCGTAGACCGAAAGTGGAAGCGTTTAGTAACGCGGTTGAGGTAGTCGAACGTCTTCGCGATCCAACCGATGCAAGTACCGAACATACGGCACCTCCGCGATCTGCACACGTTCAGCTCGGTGATGTCCCTAGAACTCTTGATCCAGTTGAGGCCGAGGGAGAGTTCCGCTAGCACGACGGCGTGGCGACGGCGATGATGAAATTATCGACGCAGGGCTTGGCCTAAGCACTACGATGATATGACTGAGGTGTGTAACTGTGGAGGGGGGCACCGCACACGGCTAAGAGATTGTCTGTTGTGCCTTTGAGGTGCCCCCTGCCCCTGTATATAAAGGAGGGGAGGAGAAGGCCGGCCAACAAGGGGCGCGCCAGGGAGAGCGGAGTCCTACTAGGACTCCAGTCCTAGTAGGATTTGGCCCCAGCCTTTTTTCCTTCTACCGGAGGGGGAAAAGGGGAAGGAGAGGGAGTAGGAGAAGGAAAGGGGGTGGCGCCCCCTTCCCAAGTCCAATTCGTCCTCCTCCCTAGTGGGGGCGCACTAGCCCCTTGTGGGCTGGTTAGCCTCCCTCATATGGCCCATAAGGCCCATATGACCATATCTTTCCCTGGGTACTCCGGTATGTACCCGATACACTCCAGAACCCTTCCGGTGTCCGAATACTACCTTTCAATATATCAATCTTTACCTCTCTACCATTTCGAGACTCCTTGTCATATCCATGATCTCATCTGGGACTCCGAACAAACTTCGGTCATCAAATCACATAACTCATAATACAAATCGTCGTCGAACGTTAAGCGTGCGGACCCTACGGGTTCAAGAACTATGTAGACATGACCGAGACACATCTTCGATCGATAACCAATAGCGTAACCAGGATGCTCATATTGGCTCCTACATATTCTATGAAGATCTTTATCGGTCAAACCGCATAACAGCATACGTTGTTCCCTTTGTCATCGGTATGTTACTTGCCCGAGATTCGATTGTCGGTATCATCATACCTAGTTCAATCTCGTTACCGGCAAGTCTCTTTACTCGTTTTGTAATGCATCATCCCGAAACTAACTCATTAGTCACATTGCTTGCAAGGCTTATAGTGATGAGCATTACCGAGAGGGCCCACAGATACCTCTCCAATACACGGAGTGACAAATCCTAATCTCGTTCTATGCCAACCCAAAAAATACATTCAGAGACATTTGTAGAGCATCTTTATAATCACCCAGTTACGTTGTGATGTTTGATAGCACACAAGGTGTTCCTCGGTATTCGGGAGTTGCATAATCTCATAGTCAGAGGAACATGTATGAGTCATGATGAAAGCAATAACAATAAAACTAAACGATCATTATGCTAAGCTAACGGATGGGTCTTGTCCATCACATCATTCTCTAATGATGTGATCCCGTTCATCAAATGACAACACATGTTTATGGTCAGGAAACATAACCATCTTTGATTAACGAGCTAGTCTAGTAGAGGCATACTAGGGACACTATGTTTTGTCTATGTATTCACACATGTACTAAGTTTCCGGTTAATACAGTTCTAGCATGAATAATAAACATTTATCATGAAATAAGAAATATAAATAACAACTTTATTATTGTCTCTAGGGCATATTTCCTTCGGTCTCCCACTTGCACTAGAGTCAATAATCTAGTTCACATCGCCATGTGATTTAACACCAATAGTTCACATCACCATGTGATTGGTTCACATCGCCATCTGACTAATACCCAAAGGGTTTTACTAGAGTCAATAATCTAGTTCACATCGCTATGTGATTAATACCCAAAGAGTACTAAGGTGCGATCATGTTTTGCTTGTGAGAGAAGCTTAGTCAATGGGTTTGTCACATTCAGAGCCGTATGTATTTTGCAAATTTTCTATGTCTACAATGCTCTGCATGGAGCTACTCCAGCTAATTTCTCCCACTTTCAATATGTATCCAGATTGAGACTAAGAGTCATCCGGATCGGTGTAAAAGCTTGCATCGGCGTAACTCTTTACGATGAACTCTTTGTCACCTTCATAATTGAGAAATATCTCCTTAGTCTTCTAAGGATAATTTTGACCATTGTCAAGTGATCCACTCCTAGATCAATATCGTACCCCCTTGCCAAACTCATGGCAAGGTACACAATAGGTTTGGTACACAACATAGCATACTTTATAGAACCTATAGCTGAGGCATAGGGAATGGCTTTCATTCCCTTTCTATTTTCTGCCGTGGTCGTGTTTTGAGTCTTACTCAACTTTACACCTTGCAATAGAGGCAAGAACTCCTTCATTGACTGTTCCATTTTGAAATACTTCAAAATCTTGTCAATGCATGTACTCATTGAAAAATCTTATCAAGC